ATGACCTAATTGCGAACGCAAGGTCAAACAACTTCTAAATCGTATTAAAATAAAATGGTAACTCATGAAGTGCTTTGGCTCTTAAAAGCTGAGAAGTGCATATAATAAAGTAGTTATTTGACATTGTTTCCGCAACTTTATCATATTGGTAGGAAGACTTAGGGGAACGCGCTGTCGGAAGTCCAAAGTATGCATGAAAATTTCCAGTCGGACCGTGGACCTAGTACATTCCCAAACATTTCGTCGATATCGTCAATGAATCTTACCATTTTAGACACGAAACTAGAATTTGTCAAAGAGAGCAGTAAAAGGACATATGGATTGATTTTACTTGTCGCTTTGACGAATTTTAGTTTTGTAATGATTGGCAAGACTCCCTGGTGATGCCATCGGAACCTTTAAGCATGTACCAAGTCTACAATCCAACCGGAAATTATCATGCATACTATGGACTCCGGACAAGGTGTGTTCCCTTAGATCATCCTGCCAATATGACCAAGTTGCAAAAACAAGGTCAAACAACTACTACACATCGAAAAGAAACTGCGACACAAATAGAGGCCATAAAATCTTGGTCATCGTATCTGTATGGAATTAAATCTATCTTAAGGTCTTTACATTGCCACTGAAGATGTACAGATTTTAGACTCACCGACCACTATTAGAGTGAAATTGAAGCCCTTCTTTACCGCCTTTCTGTGCATCTGATCGGGCAGGTTGGCAAATCCGAGACGATTGTCTTCTTCTGAGTTCTGGTAATGCAGAAAAGTAAAGGAAATATCATTGAGGTAAACTAACTTATACGAAGTAAGGGAAAGAGGTTAAGTATGTCGATGCTCAAATAAAATCACATGGTTGTTTAAAATCGATGGAATATATACATATTTTATAGTTTGTTAATGCTCATGCCAAAAGGTAAATTGATAGTGATATAAAATAAACTAAGTAAATATATCTGTACATATCGGGGTATATATATGGGCATGATGGAGAAGTGATAACGCCAATAACGCCCTAAATATTAAAATATAATGCCATTAGCAACTAAAAGCGGAAATAGTGGCTTCATAATCAATAAACAAGTGTATAACAGTACCTGCTATGAACCCAAAACACCTGACATAAATTGGCTGGAAATGAACGAGCATACAGATGTACAATAGCTAGACGAATTTTTCATTTACTAGAGCGAAAATAGGTCAAAATTATTCAGTAGTATTTCACTTAAAGGTCTAGGTGCATATGATTTATAAATTAAAGAATAAATTAATGTAATTTATATAAACCAGACATCCGTGCAGAGCAAACAATCGATAAGGATACACTAAGGTGAATCACTTCATAACGTACGTGGCATGCGTGGATGTATATAATTTCAATAATGGGCATATGCTGATAAAGAGAGCAAAGACCATTTTCCCCAATTAATCAAAGCTGCCTATTGATTTTTAGACTGAGGGCACATGGTAAGCTCAATAAAAAGTTTTGACGCAAAACGAAAACGATCGCAAGGCATACACAAAGGACCTGCAACTCAATAGAAGAATGTGTAGTTGTGGTATCAAGAGCCAACGATTTATCAAGTTTTTCCTTTATATATTGCATAGGAAAAATAGCTTACGGAAGTAAATGGATCCAAATAGTCAGTTAGATATCCAGTAACTCGGGTTATTGCCCGCATCCTACGGCTCGTATCGCGAATGCTATGCATATGTCGGGGCAAAGTTCCGGTAATGGGGTTCCCTGGCACGCTTGAAACTGACAGATTTTGTTGGCGCACTTGACGCGAGCTCCCCAATCCCAAGGGCCGTGAACTACGTATAAGAGTACGATTTCGTTCAGTCCGAGTGCGCTGGCGAGCCTGTGTTGCAGATGCACTATAAACAGGATCGTGTTCCGCGGCCTCCAAGGCACTGATGTAGCTTCGCACTACATTGATGACCCCGTGCTGAGCACCACTCGCATCTCCTTGACTGGTGAAAGATTGCGATTGGGACTGATTAGACAGATGATCCTCTGAGCGATAGCGCAAACCGATGAAATATGGTTGGCGGACAAACAATGACTCAAAGGCGTGATGATCTTTAAGGACTTCGGAGACGATGCTGTCCTCCATCTCAGAGACAACAATAGAAGATAGATCATCTTCTGTGGCACCAGACGCATTGGCGTACGTACTAAACGAGTTTACACTGTCGATATCAGATCCAGAGCGTTGCGGATGCTGCCTTTTCCTCCCTAAAGAACCCAGCATTTTCATACGCTTCTTAGTTCCCTCGTTTTTCTTCAGGATTGGTGGCTGATAGCGTCCAAATACCGAGGAGTATGACGAGTAAGAAGAAGGAATGTCGTCTTCTGTAGGACCACCAGACTTTGTAAATGCTTGTGTTAAGCGATTTGGTAACAATGTAGCAAAGTAATGACGCCTAGACAAAGTGGGCTTATTGAGAGATTCAATTTGTGAGGAATCTACCGAATAAAAGCCATTAAGTGATAGACGATTCAACATCCTAGCGGGTAAGTCAGTTTAAATAGCAAGTCCAAGCTGGAAATGTCTAGTGTAGGCAAAAAATAATTGAAACAGCAAAACAGACATGAAAAAATGCAGTGCACCCGCCTACCAGATGAAGCTATAAGTGAAAATTGGCTTAAAAGTAGCCGAGCAACGCTAATATATGCACGGATTACATGTCAGAGGAATGAGCAAAACTGACCCGAATTGTTTCGATCAAGGAGCGTGCAGAATTCATTTACATAAAGTTCGATTGCGGACAAGGATATATATATAAACACGGATAAGGCTGTGCGAGCAGTGCTTATAAGATAGTGCAGATCTGCACAACCTAAAGGATTGTGCCAGAACAATGAGGCTATAACATAAATCAACAGCTCAGAGAGCCAACGCTTACAAGAACGAACCAATCAAGTAAGTAAGCATTAGTCCAAGATTTGCTAAAAATATCCAAAATTGAAAGGTATCAGACTCAAACGACTTAAATGCGTTACAAATATAAAAAACGAGGGACCCAATACTAATATGAGGGAGCTTTAAATATGATTGATAAATAGCATGAAAAAGTAAGCAGTGAGAAGTAGAAAAATAAATCAGATAAAAGCGCGCATAAAAAAAAGAGCAGTGGGGGCCTAGAATCCACAATGGTGAGTGAGCACCTATACCCAATACTACTCGAAATCGGGCAGGGTAAACAAATAAAATAGTGGAACATCGGCCAAATACATCATCACCGAGAACAAAACGCGTAAATAAGTCTCTCCAATTCTTTAAACACATTTACGCATCTGGATAGAGCCAAAATACCAAATACATGACAACTAAGTTAAAGCCAAACTCATGAGTAGAAAAGTTAGTACGACCAAGTGGTTTTCTTAGTATGAAGATAGTACAATGCAAATGGCCGGTAATTTTGGTGAACAGAAAAATGGTAGAAAGCCGCTTTGCACGTCCGAACCGTAAAGCGTTTGATAATCGGGTAGAAACCTCTAAGTTAGTAAAAGCACCAATTAAATTCCTACTATATCATGATGCCTGCAAAGAAATTTTTCGATGAGCTGAGTAGTACAAGTAGATAGCTAAATAAACGTCAGTAATATACGCGAAACGAGCTTACTGGAAGCAGGCACAGAAATAAGTGCAGTGAGATTGAAAATGGTTTTAGAGGCCTACCATGATATCAAAACGACATTAGGCCCTAAAAATAGGTTAACTAAGCTTCTCATGAGGCTTATTAGAGGATACCAATATTAGAACAATCTTTTAGGTGTTCAGATAAAACGACTGGACAAAAGTTAAAGTCGGATAACTAATAAAATAAAAATTTACGTATGCAGCAACGGTTGGGATTTACAGTTGCTAGCACAAAATATACAGGGGAATATGCAGTCACCACATACCATGGCCTTGATGCTATCGGATCTAGACAAGTCATCATCATTTTGGCTTATCGAAAACCCAGGCGCGACGTTCTGCTTTATATTGGTTTGTGAGTAACCTTTGTTAGAATGATTTTCAGACATTTCTTGTGGAATTAAAGCACCATTATCTTACCTTTTCCCTTATAACTAGCTGAAACACCAAACCTAGGAATAGCACTCATCTTATTTGTCAGGTTTTGGAATAAGTTATAAAAATAAAGTCAAAATGGATGGGCAGATGCAGAAGACAGGCTTTGCATGGTATACCAAGAGATGCAAGTGGCTCAGTCAAATAAAAATGTAATAACCGAGAATACTTATAATACCATTTAAACTTTTCATTTCAATTTGCTTTATTTTTAATTTATATTTTGCTGTTTATCTTCTAGTTATGGAGCATAAAATTAATATTGTTGTTATAAATCTATGGGTAACGTGTGACAAACCCTTATTGTTAAAGCCAAATAGTACTTTGCAAAGTATGTGTAGATTATAAGGAAGATATTATTATGTTGAGCTTAATTCCATTTCGAGTTAAAGTGTTGGGTGAAGAGATTATAAGGTCGGTTCAACCATAAGACGACGGCGGATTCCTCTTGACTAACTGTCGATTGGCTTTACTGGAAAATTCATGCTGGCGCTGTTTCCGAGGTAATCTCCTTCGATTTCGGTAAAAAGATGCTAAGCATTCGTCCGTCATATGACGGACATCATCAGAGCGAGGTGACATCGTCACAACAAAATTAAGCTAACGAGTCAAGAAAACTAACCAGCAAATCCCTAAAAAGTGGTATATATACTTTACATCTGGCCTCTTTGATCAAGTATAAAGTGATTTGT